TAGCTGGTTTGGCTCAGTGGGTAGAGCACCAGCCTGTGGACGGAGGGGTTCTGGGTTCGATTCCGGTCAAGGGCAGGCTCCTCCCCAGCCCAGGGCCTTCAGGGTTCATGCAGAAGGCAACCAATAGATGTGTCTCTCTCACATTGATATTTCTCGCTGTCTTTCCCTCTCTCTAAAAATCAATGGAAAATATCCTCAGGTGAGGATTAAAATATTATTAATAATAATCATTTTAAAGTATATTTCTGATAAACCCAACATATGGGTCATCTGTGGAACTGTGTCAATTAACTGATTTTTTTTTCTTGATTATAGGTTATACTTTCCTGTCTCGCTGTATGTCTTGTAAATTTTTTTTAATGCTAGATATTTTATCTGGGAAGGGTTTACCTCTGGAGTTTAGTTATTTTATATTTCTTTACCCACGGCTCTTTCATGACTTTTAAGCAGGGGTTGGCCCATGATAGCCCATCGTTCAAATCCAGCTCACAACCTGTTTTTGTACCGGTCATGAAATGAGAATGGCTTTTGCATTCTTTTCTTTTTTTTAAAATATATTTTATTGATTTTTTACAGAGAAGAAGGGAGAGGGATAGAGAGTTAGAAATATCGATGAGAGAGAAACATCGATCAGCTGCCTCCTGCACACCCCCTACCGGGGATATGCCCGCAACCAAGGTACATGCCCTTGACCAGAATCGAACCCGGGACCCTTCAGTCCGCAGGCCGACGTTCTATCCACTGAGCCAAACCGGCAGGGCTGGCTTTTGCATTCTTAAAGGACCATGAAGAAGGGAGAGGCGGGGGTGGGAGGAGGGGGAGAAAACGAAACAAAAACAAAGACCATGTGAGACCAAGTATTTACTCTCTGGTCCATAACATAATATTTGTCAACGCTGGATTTAAAGAAAACCATTGTGTTTATCTGTTGATTTCTTGTTTTTCAGCAGCAACAAGGGTCTTCCACATCCTTCCACATCTAAGCCAGAGCAGCACTCATATTTAATTTCTATTTCCTGATTCGTGGAGACTGCACATCTTTTCATATATGTATTGGTTATTCAAATAACCTCTTTTTTTTTTTGGTTTCTTAAGTCTCTCACATGTTTTTTCTACGAGACAGTTTGGCTTTATAATGATTTGTAGGTGTAATTTATATATTCTGGATATCAGTCCTTTGTTAGTTACATTTGTAACACATGTTTTCTTCCGTTGTGTTGGCTTGACTTTCCATTCTTCCCATAGTGACTTTATTGAATAGAGTTTCTTAGTTTTAATGTGTTCAAATTCATAAGCTTTCCCTGTATGGTTCAGTGCTTTTCTGTGTTTGTTTTAAGCTTATGGTCTTCATTTACAAATTCCAGGAAACGAGAGCGAATCAGTTGGCACTGCTCAGGGGAGAGACTAAGGTGGATGGGCTCGACCAGTGTAGCTCAATGGTTGAGCGTCGACCTATGAACCAGGAGGTCACGGTTCCATTCCCCGTCAGGGCACAGGCCCAGGCTGCAGGCTCAACACCCTGTAGGGGGCGTGCAGGAGGCAGCCGATCAATGATTCTCTCTCATCATTGATGTTTCTCTCTCTCTCTCTCCCTCTCCCTTCCTCTCTGAAATTAGTAAAATTATTTTTTTAAAGAAGAAGGCGGGTGGTATACATTGGGTTTTAGGCTACCCTCAAAAGTAGCTTTTATAAACAGTAAGTCTATTTGTGGCTTGGGTTCTTTTTAAAATTAACACTGAATTTATTGAAATAAAAATTAAAAGCTCATATCCTTAAGTGTTTATTAAGTTCTAATTAAAACCTTAATCTCCTACCTATAAATCTAAGAGGATCTTTAAAACCCAGTTAATTAAATCCCCTAAGTAGTTAAGGTTGAATATATATTAACATAACAAATTTTCTTTTTAAGCATATATCTATAATTCCATTTTTAAGCACTGCATTTGTTTCTAACAAGCAAAGCCTTCCTATGAACATGGCGAATATTATAAACCTAATAAAATAAACATATACAATATTGAATTTTCGTCTTTATAATCACCATTAAATCTCTCACTTAAGTACTATACTCCATTAAAATTGGAATCATAACTAATCTGTCACATATACCAAATTTGTATGCACTAATGTTCAAGATACACAAATTAGTCTTAAAATGTTCCAAGAAAATATCATTGGCTTTGCTTTTTATTTTTTTCTTTAAGTACTGTAATTATAAACATGCCTTGGTTTTTAAAATTACCTTCTAAGATGGTAGTTTTTACCAGGGATGATGCTGCCCTCTAGGGGACATTTGTGGAATTTGATGGCATGTTTTTAGTCGTCATAGCGATGGAGGGACGCTCTAGTATTAGGCACATGGGGGTCAGGATGCCTGACATCCCGAAATGAGCAGGACAGTCCTCACAGCTAGAAGTTGTCCTGTACAAACTTCAGAGGTCCCTTCATGTCAACAAAAAATTCACAGTCCCCGCGCCTAGGACTTCACCACGTTTTCCACGTAAGTAATTTTTGCGTGGTTTTGATACAGAATGAATTTTCCAGGACTTGCAATTATCTTGCAAATCAGCGAGACACTGTACTTTGCTGTGTCCTGAACTTTACCAAGATCTATTGACAATTTCAGAAAATGGTGTTTGGAGTAGCAATGTCACTCATGGTACCTGAATCAGTCTGTATGTGCAGCAGTCACATTCACGGTGCTTAGATATAGTTATATAGATAGGGATTATAGATATATTTCTTAATCCCTTGTTTCAAATGATCAAATATAACAACTTCATAATTTTCAATTATATATTGTATTATCTTAAATCTAAACTTAAATAAAGCAACTAATTTATTATATCTTCTGCTATATTAGTGCTTGAGCATATAAATATTGAAATAAATAACTTTTATTTCTCTTTCATATTACAGTTTTGGCAGTATATTGTGTGTAACTAGATGATGTTATGTATGAAGTCCGTTTCAGGATAGAAGAGATTATTACAAAGTATTTTTAAATCTCAAACAATCTATATGCAGCCCTGGATTGACAGTTATGACACTGCTACTCTGTACCCTGGGATGAACAACCGAGCGAGTGGCTGACAGGTAGAGGCCTGGCAGCAGCAGCAACCCAGTAACGACGGACACACCTAGCAGGCAGATGTGACTTCAAACGCCATGCTCTCCGAAAGGGGCCCGCGCCAGTGCTAGGACTGAAATAGACAAAACAAGCCTGCAGCATCATATGGTGCCAGACTGTAAGGAAGTGTTACACACACACTCACACTCACTCACACTCACACTCACTCACACTCACACTCACTCACACTCACACACCTACACACTCACACACTCACACACCTACACACATATATCTACACACACACTCTCTCTCACACACACACTCACACTCACACACCTACACACATACACACACACACACTCACACCTACACACATATATCTACACACACTCTCTCACACACATACACACACACTCACACTCACACACCTACACACTCACACACTCACACACCTACACACATACATCTACACACACTCTCTCTCTCACACACACACTCACACTCACTCACCTACACACATACACACACACACTCACACCTACACACATATATCTACACACACTCTCTCACACACATACACACTCACTCACACTCACACACCTACACACTCACACACTCACACACCTACACACATACATCTACACACACACTCTCTCTCACACACACACTCACACTCACACACCTACACACATACACACACACACACTCACACCTACACACATATATCTACACACACTCTCTCACACACATACACACACACTCACACTCGCGCACACACCTACACACATACACACTCACACACCTATACACATATCTACACACACTCTCACACACACACTCACACACATACGCACATACACACCCCCTACACACAAATATCTACACACACTCTCTCTCACACACACACACTCACACACCTACACACATACACACACATACATCTACACACTCTCTCACACACACACACACTCACACTCACACACATACACACATACACACACACACTCACACCTACACACATATATCTACACATACACTCTCACACACACACTCACACACACATACACACATACACACTCACACACCTATACACATATCTACACACACTCTCTCTCACACACACACACACTCACACACATACGCACATACACACCCCCTACACACAAATATCTACACACACTCTCTCACACACACACACTCACACTCACACACCTACACACACACACACACACACACTCACACCTACACACATATATCTACACACACTCTCTCACACACATACACACTCACACACACATACACACATACACACTCACACACCTATACACATATCTACACACACTCTCTCTCACACACACACACTCACACACCTACACACATACACACACACATACATCTACACACTCTCTCACACACACACACACTCACACTCACACACCTACACACATACACACACACACACTCACACCTACACACATATATCTACACACACTCTCTCACACACACACACACTCACACTCACACACCTACACACATACACACACACACACTCACACCTACACACATATATCTACACATACACTCTCACACACACACTCACACTCACACACATACACACACACACTCACACTCACACACATACACACACACCTACACACATATATCTACACACACACACTCTCTCTCACATACACTCTCTCACACACACATACACACACACACACTCACACACACACACACACACTCCATGATGGGGTGCGTGTCAAAGAGACACAGGAAGCAACTAAAAGACCGGCAATAGCCAAAGCAGGAAAAACTTGAGCAGCAAAATAAAGCACTATCGGATTCTAGACCCAAGTGTAAAATGAGTGTCAATGGTTCAGCCAATGAGAGGAGAGGAGGGCGCCATCTCCCACGCAGACCCCAAAGCACGGAAGGAGGTCCTGCCGCGCCGCGCTCTCTGAGTGTGGGCTGTCCCCGGCCCTCCCACAGGACGGGGCACCCGCAGACAGTGACCGAGATGGGGCTAGCGAGGTGCCCCGGAAGGAAATGCGCCCAAATGAAGCGAAGTGCAGGGAGATATTGCGGGGTTGTCTGGTTTTCTGGGTCTGTCTTTGGCTGAGGGGTCGGTGGGGCGGATACAACTTGGAACCTCGCCCCTGGCTGCGGCGCCCGGCGCTAGAGGCTCTTCTCCCGGGCAGAGCCGCCCAGCAGGAGGGAAACCCACCCCGGGACCGCAGCGGGCGGGGGATCTGCGGGGGCGGACGCGGGAGCGGCGGCGGCCTGGGCGGGGGGCGGCCTCCCGACGCCCACCGCTCCCTCCAACAGCTAACTGCCCCCCCCCTTGTGCCCCTAGAGAAAGCGGCTGCGGCTGTGGTCGGAGGAGGTGAGTTACTGGTCCCCTCCATCGCCAGCCCCCCGCGGCCTCATCCTGGGGGGGGCTTACCCACCGGCCTGTGGGCTTCGAGCCGGCGGCCCCTCCACCCCCTGCTGCCTGCGCCCCCCTCCACGCCCTGCTGCCTGCGCCCCCTCCACCCCCTGCTGCCTGCGCCCCCTCCACCCCCTGCTGCCTGCGCCCCCCTCCACGCCCTGCTGCCTGCGCCCCCCTCCACGCCCTGCTGCCTGCGCCCCCCTCCACGCCCTGCTGCCTGCGCCCCCCTCCACCCCCTGCTGCCTGCGCCCCCCTCCACGCCCTGCTGCCTGCGCCCCCCTCCACCCCTGCTGCCTGCGCCCCCCTCCACGCCCTGCTGCCTGCGCCCCCTCCACGCCCTGCTGCCTGCGCCCCCTCCACCCCCTGCTGCCTGCGCCCCCCTCCACGCCCTGCTGCCTGCGCCCCCCTCCACGCCCTGCTGCCTGCGCCCCCTCCACCCCCTGCTGCCGGCGCCCCCCTCCACGCCCTGCTGCCTGCGCCCCCCTCCACGCCCTGCTGCCTGCGCCCCCCTCCACGCCCTGCTGCCTGCGCCCCCCTCCACCCCCTGCTGCCTGCGCCCCCCTCCACCCCCTGCTGCCGGCGCCCCCCTCCACGCCCTGCTGCCGGCGCCCCCCTCCACGCCCTGCTGCCGGCGCCCCCCTCCACCCCCTGCTGCCGGCGCCCCCCTCCACCCCCTGCTGCCGGCGCCCCCCTCCACGCCCTGCTGCCGGCGCCCCGCTCCACGCCCTGCTGCCGGCGCCCCCCTCCACGCCCTGCTGCCGGCGCCCCCCTCCACCCCCTGCTGCCGGCGCCCCCCTCCACGCCCTGCTGCCGGCGCCCCCCTCCACCCCCTGCTGCCGGCGCCCCCCTCCACGCCCTGCTGCCTGCGCCCCCCTCCCGCGGGAGGTCACCCGGTCCCCACTAGCTGCCCCTCTAGGGCTTCCTCGTGATGAGCCTGCAGGAGGGGGCGCCATGGCTCATTTCACCCCCCGCCTTTGCACACACAAACCCGAGGCCGGGCGAGGCTGGTGACGTCCGCAGTGTCACCCAGCAAGTGAGAGACCCGCCGGGCTGTGCCGGGACCCCTGTGACTGCCCCACCTGCCCCGCACCCCCACCTTTTTCTTTACCTTGGCACCCCTCCAAGCTGCTGTCTCCCAGGGGCTCAGGGCAGACGGGTAGGAGGGTGCTCAGGGGGTGCGCGCCCGCCGCGTGCCGACCCAGCCCCCTCCCCGCAGCGGTGGCCGTGGGCGCCGTGCCCCTGGTGCTGGGCGCCATGGGCTTCACCGGCGCCGGCATCGCCGCCTCCTCCTTGGCCGCCAAGATGATGTCCGCGGCTGCCGTCGCCAACGGGGGCGGGGTCTCCGCCGGCGGCCTGGTGGCCACTCTGCAGTCGGTGGGTAGGTGTCCTGAGCTGCCCGGGCGGCGGCGCGTGGGGCGGGGAGGGAGGATCTGGGCCAGGGCGGGACTCAGCCTGGAGCCTCGGCCTGAGGGAGGGCCTGTCCTCTCCCCAGCTCCCTGGTCCTTTGTCTCCCCCTGTCTGTCCTCTTTCTGGCTCCCCAGTGAGGTGGGGGGGGGGGGGGGAGGTGAGGCGGTTCGGGGAGGGGGAGGAGAGGAAGGAGCCCACGGCGAGTGATGTCGGGGCTCTGGGTCCAGCTCTACCCACAGCTGACACCTGGGGGGCCCAGGTGGGTCCCCTCACTCTTGGGGCCTCAGGGGCCTCCTGTGTAAAGTGAGGGGGGACCTGTAGGTGGGAGCCTGGGGCCAGCGCTCCTGTCCCCACTTCCCATGAGTTCCCCATCTCCCCTCTCTCTGCCACCCCAGCATCCTCTACCCAGAGCGGAGCCCTGGGGGTTGCAGGACCTACAGGAGGGACCCAGGTGGGGTCTCTGGGTTGGGATCTCCTGAGGGTCCCCCACGCTCACCCTCTCTTCTCCCCCAGGGGCAGCCGGACTCTCCACGCCGTCCAACGTCCTCCTGGCCTCCGCTGGGTCCTTTCTGGGCGCCTTGCTGGGAGGTTCAAAAAAGGCACCCCTTTCCCCTCCAGCCCTTTCCCCTCCCTCAGCTGGACCTGGGGCTGAAGGGGACCAGCCAGGAAAAAACGCACCCCAAGTTAACCCTCCGAACCGCCCCCTCAGCTCAGAGAAGCATCAGAAATAAAGGTCACGTGCACACGGCCTCCCTGTCCTCATTCCTGCAGTCCTGGTTGGGATGTTGTGAATTAGAGGCTCCTGGCCCTGGCCCCCCATTCTCCCAACTGCCTTGGGGGGGGGGGGGGCTGGCGGTGGCGCAGGCAGATCAAGCACAGGATTGGTTGGCAGCAGGATTTGGTTGGTCCTAGTCTTACCAGGGATGGGCTGTGTAACCCAGGGCCACTCACGGGCCTTCCATGGGCCTCTTTGCCCCTCACTCAGTGGTGGGGTTGATAAGGCTCCAGTTGGGAGGCCGGGTGAGGGGTAGCCAGGATGCACGTGGACCCACTGACCCCAGAGCCCTTTGCCCTTCCTCCTCAGTGGGCACTGGACACCCAGAGCTGACCAACACCCCCCCCTGCCCCCCGTCCTGCTGCTTCAGGATTCCGGTGGGGGTGGGCGGAGGCGGGCAAGCAAACCACCAGACAGAGCACCATGCCAGGTGCTCCTCGGGCTCGGGCACTGCAGGGGGAGGAGACTGAGCCCAGTGTCGCTGGAAAATCAAACAGGAACTGACAGTCACCAGCTCCTACCCTGGTGACAAGGCCTTTGGGGTGTCCCTGGGTCTCCACTCACCCCCAAGACGAGATCTTTTCCTGCCAGTGAGGTGTCATTCTCTGGAGTTGTTTGTTTTTAAAAGGATGAGTTGTAAACTAGATTAAAAATAGGAGTTCTGCCCTAGCTGGTTTGGCTCAGTGGATAGAGTGTCAGCCTGCAGACTGAAGGGTCCTGGGTTCTATTCCAGTCAAGAGCACATGCCCGGGTTGTGGGCTCAATCCCCGGTGTGGGGCGTGCAGGAGGCAGCCAATCAATGATTCTCTCTCATCAGTGATGTTTCTCTCTCTCTCTGTCTCTCTCTCTTTCTCTCTCTCCCTTCCTCTCTAAAATCAATAAGAATATATTTTTAAAAATTCACTTACATAAATAATAAATAAAATAGGAGCGCTAAGACTTCCGCTCGCACCCAGTGGATAGTCTTGAGGAGCACTGCGGCATTGTGTAGACGCCGCCACGGCCGTATCCACCCGGAGGGCCGCTCAGAGTGGAGAGCTGGAGAGCGGTCACGCCCAGCACCAAGAGACAGCCCGACAGCCCACACAGGCCTGGCTTTTCCTGACCCCGAGGGGGTGCGTGCAGGCCGGCCGCTGGCCCAGCTGACACAGGACCAACTCATTCACTATGGGCCCTTTCTTGGCTGCGGGTCTTTCCCTGTCTCAGCCTCCATCCCCGTGTGTGCTCCCTGGAGTCACCTGCAATAAAACATTTGCACTCAAATCCTTGTTCTAGGGCAGGGGTGGGCAAATTTTTTTGACTCGAGGGCCACGATGGGTTCTTAAACTGGACCGGAGGGCCGGAACAAAAGCATGGATGGAGTGTGAACTAATATAAATTAAAGTAAACATCATTACATAAAAGGGTACGGTCTTTTTTTTTTCAATAGTTTTATTCATTTCAAACGGGCCGGATCCGGCCCACAGGCCGTAGTTTGCCCACAGCTGTTCTAGGGTGTCAGCCCCACTCAGGAGCCCACAGGGCTGAGCCCGAGAGAGCCACAGCGCCCCATCCGATGGTTCCTGGAACCGGTTCAGGCTGGTCCATCTCCTTCCCTCAGGATGAGACTCAGGCCGGGGGCTCTAAGGCCTGTCTCATCGTGACCCACCTGGTGGGCACCCCCAGACAGGCCCAGGTCTGTCAGAATCCCGGCAGAGAACACAGCTCTGCCCCCCCGGCCAGGCTACCCTGGGCAATGCCACCTGCCGAAGGCCTGGGAGGAAATCACGCAAACCAGCAGATCATCCCTCGGTCTTTGCAATTTGCAATTTCAGTTGGAAAAATGTTCCTTCTCAGTTACGTTTCCTCCTGCTACTCAAGGTGCTCAAGGGCGTCTGCTGGGGCCACTCTTCCCTCCCTGCGCCTCCCCTGGCTCTTCACTCATTGGAAGTTGCCCGATTCATAGGAAAACAGTTTTATCTCCCGAACACAGGAAGCAGCTGGGAGGAACCGGTGCGTCTGCGGCCGTTTAAGGCCCCGCAGCTGGAAACAGCCCACGCAGCGGGCCACCGGCCTCTGGGAAGGCAGCCATCTCCAGCAGCAGCAGGAGTTGGGGACTTTCGGCCATTTCTTTTTTTCTTTTTTTAATTGCTTTTTAGAGAGAGAGGAAGGGAGAGGGATAGAGAGAGAGAAACATGCATGAGGCAGGAACGTCACTGATCGGCTGCCTCCTGCGCGCCCCACACTGGGGATCGAGCCTGCAACCCAGGCACGTGCCCTGACCGGGAATCGAGCCTGCGACTCTTGGTTCCTGCGTCGATGCTCAACCGCTGGGCCGCTTCCTACAGGGTCATTTCTTTTAACAACATCTATCAAATGGGCGGCATTCCCTTCTTGGAATGGGGTGTGGCTTTTCTGTGGTGAGTCATGGACAGTGTCTTGACTGCAGCGAATACCTTTTTGCTGCTGTTTTGATCCTCTTGTGTCGGTGCTTCGGGAGGTGCTCTGTGGGTGTTCAGGCTGCCCCAGAAGGTGCTGTGGGGCCAGGAGGACAGGGGCAGGGCTCCTAGGAAACACACCCTTTCCTCCCTGCCCTGGCCCAGGTGCTGTGAAAGGCATGGCACCTCCATCCACATCCCTTCTGGGCCACTACACTCCCCTCACCTCAGGACCCATCTGTACCCAGTTTTCCACCATCACAGACCAGCACTGTAGCTCCCACCTTGGGTCCCTCGCCGAGGGAGGGTGCCCAGGGCTGGAGTGCAGGAGAGAGAAGGTCAGAGACATGAGGCTGAGAGCTTCCCAGACCTGAGGGGCTGAGACTTCGTGGATGTCTGATGACAGGCTGTGCCACCAGTGTCTCCTGCCGGCTGCAGGCCCACACTGTGACCTCCCTGAGCCTTTCCACGGGCACACCCCCACCAAGGTGTGGGAACGTGAGCAGTTCTTTTCTTGGGCTAAGGTTCCCCAGAAGACTTGTCCTCCCTCTGATCTGAAAGTTACAGCCTGGCCCGCAGCATCCTGGGGCCTATGGATGAAGATGACTGAGGGTCTCTTTACTTGGATGGAAACTCATTTTTAGTAAAAAGCTCATGGTACCTCCTGGCACAGGGACCCACCTTGCCAACTATAAAGCTCCGGTCGTCTGCTAATGGGGTGCGTGGGGAACTGCCTGCTTCCTACAGACTTCCAACCAGCCCTCTCGCTGCCAATCCACCTTGATGCCAACCTCCAGAAGGACGTTCCGGGCAGTGGCTGAGCCTTTGGGGGTCCTACAGGGCGCAGTCGCCTCATTCTCCCCTTCTCCACTGACAGCTTCAGGTGCAGTGTTCTTGGGACGGCCAAGTAGAACCCGTGTCCATGGGGTTCCTGGCTCCTAAAATTGTGTTTCTGTCATTTCTCTCCCCGTCTCCGTGGCCATGTGTGTTTAAGCCTTGTTTTAGTCCTTCGCGGTTGTTTCTGTGGTGTGTTGAGAAGGAACAGGTCAGTCCTCTTTGTTGGATTGATTTTTCTGTTGCTTGCAATCGAGAGGTTCCCGCTCATGTGCTTTAGAATGGATGTTTGCTGGCCAAGGGGCTCTCTTGGCTGAAACAAGAGAAGATTCTTTCCCTGTTACTTGGTCATATAAAAATCTCAGCCAGGCCCTGGCCTGTTTGGCTCAATGGATAGAGCATTCCTCCAACCTCAGGGTCCCAGGTTTGATTCTGGTCAACAGCATGTACTGTGTTTGCAGGCTCCTCCCTGGCCCAGGCCCTGGTCAGGGTGTGTGCAGGAGGCAAACAATCAAATGTGTTTCTCTCATGTCGATGTTTCTATCTGTCTTTCCCTCTCTCTTCCATTTTCTCTAAAAAAAATCAATGGAAAAATATACTTGGGTGAGGAATAAAAAACAAAAAAAATCTTGGCCAGGACTGCCCCAGGAGGCCCAGGCTCCTGCAGTCTTGTTGCTCTACCTTCCTTAAGGTGCTGCTTTCATCTGCAGGGTGGAAGATGGTTTATTCTCCTGCCTGCAGCAGAGCCCCTGGGAAGTGGCCAAGGGTCAAAGATGGGCCCTTCACTCCCCTTAGAGCTGCAGACGTGGTCTCTGCTCACCTCTCACTGACCAGAACCAGTCCCATGAGCACGCCTAGCTGCAAAGAGGGGCTGCAGTGCAGTACTTCACTGGAGATGATGCACCTGGCTGAAAGCCCGGACATCGGGGGACTCCTAGCAGCCCCTGCCACACAGGGGAAGACCCGGGCCTCAGCAGGAAGCCATCCCAGATTGCGACAATGAGAACTGGCCTCTGCCTCTCTGCTCTCCTCGGCAGCACGCCAAGCCACCGTGCACAGAACTTGGTTAGTGGAGAAGGTGCCTGGCTTCCCTGACACTGCAGACTCCTGAGGGGAGGCAGGGATCCCGGAATTCTGCAGGGACAGGACCCAAACTCCCTGAGTCCCAGGGGTCAACTGAAGCCAGGAATTTCAGGAATGCTGGGGCTGCCAGAGTATGTTCAGCCGGCTCCCAAGTGAACAACCCTCAGCCTGATGAAAAGAGCTGGGGGAGAGGTCACAGCTGTTTTCTCTCCCCATATAACAAATTCTTGCAGATTTAGCAGCTTAAGCTAACATTGCCTTGGAGTTGTAGGTCCGACGTGCAAGTGGGCTTGACTGAGTGCTCTGTTTAGAGTCAAAGTCAAGGTTTCAGCCAGACTGTGCTCTTGTTATGGAAACTATGGTAAGAATCTTCAACTCCCCCTCTTCCTTAACTCTGACTTCCTCTTCTGTGATGAGCAGACAACGCTGTCTGCTTTTTCAAAAAATATATTTTTATTTTTTAATCCTCACCCGAGGATATTTTTCCACTGATTTTTAGAGAGAGGGGAAAAGAGAGGGAAAGACAGAGAGAAATATCGATGTGAGAGAAACACATTGATTGGTTGCTTCCTGCATGTACATGCCCCGACCAGGACCTGGGCCAGGGAGGAGCCTGCAACCGAGGTCCGTGCCCTTGACCA